AAACTTTGAGACCGTGATCCACAGCTTTTGTTTTTGGCATGGAGAGGAGCTGCTTGTCATTTCCCAAGGCTTTGAGTCTTGCATTAACAGACAGTGGCGACATCAGAGAACAAGTGTTGATGATCAAGTGTCTGAATAGTTTCTTTTCTCGCTGCCAATTGATCTCTCTCCTACCACAACCTGACTGTGGCCTTCAAATATTGTTGCTTTCATTTGCTACTTGGATCTGCCTAGATTTTTTAGTGCTTTTTTTTTTTTCAGATTCTTTGAATTTCATAAGCCATTTAGACAAAAATCTTGACATTTATGACTCTTTGCCATTTGTGTTTCTACACATGTTGTTATTGTTAGGTGCCCTCGAGTCAGTTCCGACTCATAGCAGCACTATGTGTACTTTGCCATCCTCAAAATTACTATGCTTGACCCCATTGCTGCTGCTCCTATGTCAGTCCATCTTGTTGGGGACTTGCTCTTTTTTTTTTTTTTTTTTTTTTAATGACCCTCCACTTTACCAAGCCTGATGTCCATCTTCAGGGACTGATCTCTCCTGATAACATGTCTAAAGTATAGAAACAAAATCTCATCATCCTTACTTCTAAGGAGCATTCTGGCTATATTCCTTCCAAATCAGATTTTGTTTTTCTGGCATGCAATGGTACTTTTAAATATTCTTTGCCAACACTGTAATTGAAATGCATCAATTCTTCTATGGTCTTCCTTATTCATTGTCCAGCTTGAACATGCGTATGAGATGCCTGAAAATACTATGACTTGAGTCAAACACACCTTAGTCTTCAAAGTGATATCTTTGCATTTGCCTAATACGTTTTTTGATTTCTTGATTGCTGCCACCATGAGTGTTGATTGTGAATCTAAGCAAAGTGAAGTCTTTGACAACTTCAGTCTTTTTTCCACTTATCATGATGTCATTTATTTGTCCAGTGGTGAGGATGTTTGTTTATAGTGAGATGCGATCCATGCTAAAGGCTGCAGTCTTTTATCTACATTAGTTAAGTATTTCATGTCCTCTTTGCCTCCAGCAAGCAAGGTTGTGTCACCTGCTTGCAGGTTTTTAATGAATCTTCCTCCAATCTTGACAACACATTCTTCTTCATATAATCCACCTTTTCATATCTTATTTTTAGAAAGTGAACGGCACCAGAAAATTCTGTGACTACTGTCATGAATTTGACCTTTTTCAGACAATCTTTTAGGAAAAGCTGACATGTTAAAATCTCAATAGTAGAGGTTTTGTGTTTGCTTAGTTTGTGTGGAACAGTGAATTATTTAATGTCTCTTCTAGCCTTAGTCTTTGAAGTTGTCAAGGTCTTCATTCTTCTTGGATCAACTATCAACACTCAAGGAAGCAGCAGTCAAAAGATCAAATGACGTATTGCATTAGGCAAATCTGCTGCACAAGACCTTTTTAAAGTGCTGAAGAGCAAAGATGTCAGCTTGAGGACTAA